GGTAGATTTGGTATTCGCTTTTGAAGAAATATCGTGCGCCACAATGAGAGATGCAATTACTGGTTTAAAGAAAAAAAGTAGCAAGGACATTTATGAAATTAGTACCAAATTGTTAAAACGTATAAAGGAACCATTGATATCTCCATTGACAAAACTATGTAATCTTATAATTACAAGTGGTCACTTTCCATCTTGCTTGAAAATCGCAAAAGTAATTCCCATCTTTAAAAACGGTGACGCTGGTAACATGGATAATTATCGTCCAATATCCTTAATACCCTCGCTAGCCAAAATTTTTGAAAAGGTTCTTTGTGCTCAATTATTGCGGTATCTTGAAAATAATAAGTTAATGTCCCTGTGTCAGTTCGGGTTTCGACCAGGGAAATCGACATCTTTGGCAGTGAGTAGCTTGGTTACGTATATTATTGAGGCTTTTGAAAGTGGGTCCTTTGCGGGATGCACTTTTTGTGACTTGTCAAAGGCTTTTGACTGCGTGCATCATCATATACTTCTTGCGAAACTTGAAAGGTATGGGGTCGTGGGCCGATCTCTGGGTTTAATGCAATCATATTTGTACAAGCGTAAACAGGTCACTTGCTTAAATAACACCGTATCCTCTGAAAAAGAGGTCAGTTATGGTGTCCCTCAGGGGTCGGTTATCGGTCCCCTACTTTTTCTCATCTACATAAATGACCTGCCGAAAAATGTGTGTACAGCACGGGGGGTGTTATTTGCGGATGATACAACACTGATATCTATTAATAAAGAGTGGGATATGATGAGGACCAGCATGGATATGGCACTCGCAGATGCTTCAGATTGGTTTGCTGCAAATCAGTTAATGTTAAATAAAACGAAACAAATGATTTTTAGTATGAGGTCTCCCAGTGATGGCGATGCGACTGAGGTGGCGGTGAAGTTCTTGGGTGTGTGACTCGACAAGAGTTTGACGTGGGAAGTACACTGTACTAATGTCTCGAGAAAATTATCTAGAGTAATATACCTTATCAGAAATTTGCGGGATGAAGTATCTTTTGACTTGATAAAAGAATGTTTACTACTCTTTATTTCATGCTGCCTTCTCATACAAGGTGTAACTGAAATAAGTATTCAAAATTTCTGAGCTGAAAACAAGTCGAAAAATGACGAAAACTTTAGTACAATTTTTGTCAGTGGCGGCTCCTATGGGAGCTACGCTCTCCTAAAGGGGTAACCTCGGAAACAGTTTTTAATGCGTAACATCCAAACGGCTAGACATTAAGTCACGAAATTTTGGTGAGATATTAACCTTGACGTGCTTAATAAGTCTCATAAAATACATTTCAAAATTTGCTACAGGGGCGTGAGAAAATGCAGGACCCAGGGACAAATTTAATCATATCTTTTTTGTAGTCAATTTTTTCTAGTTCCTGACTCGAAAATATTGAAATTTGAAGTATTTAACATAAAAAAGGTCCTCTTGTTAAATTTCACTAGGATGTGCCGTTTTCCAGTAAAATCGATTTCAATCATTCCCAACGTGCTCCAAATTCAACTTTCATTACATAGCAAAATAAATTAATTGCAGTGTG